CAAAAATAATTTTAAATAAAGATACACAATTAATTCAGATAAAAAAAAGAGCAGTTAATTTTACTTATACTAATATACAAGTATGCATGCAAATTTAATGAATCCCCATAACCCATTAATTTGGATGCTTCTTTGTAGTGATTGAACAATTTCTCAACATAAATACTAATTTAATTATGATTTAGTTCAATATCGTACCAACTTGGAAGTTAAAACAATTTTCTCTCTCCATTAAGTCACCTGTCCCTGTACCCTTCAAGAATGCCACACCCCCTCTATATGTCTTTGTGCTTATACGTATCATATTAGTAAGAAGTTTAATCGCTAAATAATGATTTGATGTTTACCGTCTTTATTTTTATTAAATTATTTTATATCTTAATTTTGAGTTAAAACAATTTTTATATTTTTTATTAATAGAAATTTACACCATCAACCTAAATTTACGTGTTAAATTTATTTATACATAATATTTTTTTTATTAATATGATAATTATTTTAATTTGGACCGTTCTTAACTTATTTATAAATAAAAATAAAAATAAAAAATCTACAATTATGACTAAATTCCGAAAAACATGTCCCTTCTTCTTCTACTATTTTCAATTCACTTCAGCTTGGGCTGAATGGTAGTAAGAGAAAGTAGAAGCTGTATTTTGATATTGTGCGCCTTGGCCTGAACCCACTCGCTCACATGCTGCTCGTATGGCTCTATGCTTCCCCATTTAGAGTCCTAGTAAGGGAGTAGGAATAAGTGTTCGACCTTAGAGAGCCCCTCAAACAGTTACATTCCATGCTTGTCTTCATATTAGCTATTGATTTTTATGCTCCTCTTACTAAGGTTGAGCCATGAAGAGGCGAGTACAAAATGGGAAAGCATCGTCTCCTGAGTCTAAAATAATACAAGTACCCATCAAAAAAGGAAACCAAGAGAAACCCTAGCAAAAGGACGGTGTTGCATTGAGAGGAGACGGAAGTTCACATTTTTTTTTTTTTATATATTATGTCAAATATCATGTAAATTAATTAAAAAAAAATTTCTAAAAGTGGAAGAACTAATTTAATGTAAAATTAAAATATGAAGTAATTTAAATAAAAATAAATAGTACAAAAAGCAAATCCTTATTTTTGGTGAAGTTCGAGGGTTATAATTAATGGAAATTGGTCTCGCACCTGTTTCCAGAATATGAAGGACAAAGGGGATGGACTCAAAATAAACTACAAGTAAATTGTATAATTAATTTTGATTTATGATCAGAATAATACGAATAATTGTAAAAGTAAATCACAGTGCATAGGAAATACTTTTACCAAATCACATCAGTTTCAATATGAGCTCAATGACTATGATCTAAAATCACATCAGCCCGTCTATTTGATTAGTGGTGGGTGATTTAGTTTATGTATTTATGATTCCAGAGTAGATCAGATATGTATCTATCTGTTTGTGTGTGTGTGTGTGTGTATATATATACATTGTATGTACGTATATATAAATGCTCAGAATTCTAGATTCGGTGGAAAGTGCAAGCTATATATATGCGAGTGTATGGGAAAATTAGTAGACTTTTCCAATTTCCATGTTGTTTCATTGCATGTGTTTTCCACTTTCCTATATTCTTAATTTGTTGCTTTCATGAATATTATAAAAGTTTGAAACCAAAAAAGAAAGGAAGAAATGTAGATCATATATATATATATATATTATAATTTAGAGTATAATTTTGTATATTTCTTAAATTTAATTATTTTTATAGATAAAAATTTTAATAAATTCTGTAATTTAAAATAATATTTAATATTAACCATGCTATTTGAAGTGTTTCAACTTTATCATTGCTTTTGTTTTTAGCCTTTTTTAAGAAATAGGGTATTTTCTTGGCAATTTAAAGAGAAGGGGGGGGGGGGGGGGGTATTATTATTTTCCCAAAAAATAAAAAAGAGGGTTATTATTGTACTACTGATATCGGTAGCAATCAATATTAAAAAAAAAGAATTATTTTGGCTTTTCATAATTGAGATG